CTGGATTTTGAGCGTGGTGATGCTGCAGCGAGTGGGTTCCCCTGCAGTGCCCTCTTGTGCGTTGCACCACACAGCCGAGCGAGTGCTGCGTGTTGGGTGGTGTGTTCTGAGCTTGAAACTCTTCAGCTGCGCTAATCCCAGAATCACAGCATGGTCGGGGTTGGAAGGGACCTCTGTGGGTCACCCAGCCCAACCCCCTGCCGAAGCAGGGTCACCCAGAGCAGGCTGCATAGGACCTCGTGCTGAGAAATTAGTCTTCAGTGAAGTTACGGGCGAGGGAAAGCAGCCTGAGCGACCCGGTTCCTAGGATCAGACTCTCCTGGAATAGCTCCATGAAGTTAGGCACAGCTGGATCTCGAACACTACTCAGAAGTCTCTAACAGGCAGTCCTTCAATGTTCATATAAAACCACCAAGGTTGTAAGTCGCAGTAACCACCAGTATCATCAGTAAATGTTCACCAGAAACGCCAGAACAGAGCTATCACTAGAAGTACTCACAGAATCACAGAACATTCGGGGTTGGAAGGGACCTCTGTGGGGTCCAAGCAGGGTCACCCAGAGCAGGCTGCACAGGACCTTGTCCAGGCGGGTCTGGAATATCTCCAGAGAAGGAGACTCCACAACCTCCCTGGGCAGCCTGGGCCGGTGGGCTGTGTTTTACGGGGGATTTGGGAGCATAGCAGTTGGGAAATGTCCTCTGGAAGTGGACGAAACTCCACTAGGGAAAAATCCTCTCACTCCAGCAGGACATTCCGCCTCGGCAGCAGTTTCTGTGCTTCCGATTCACTCTGATTTAATCAGAAATCTTTCAACTGTGAGATGTGCTGTAAAGCTGATGAGGTACAACCTTGGATAAGAGATGCCAGTAAATAAGGGAGGAGGCATCTGTGTCCTTGTGTGATGTTCTGAGCAGCAGGACTTCAGTGGCGAGGGGGATGGAGGGAGGTGACTTGGGGGGAGAGCGCTGAGTGGGATGCTGAAAGGTGGAGGGAAGAATTTGGGATGAAGTAAGAAACCGGTTGAAAGAAAGAGGAAGAAAGGAGGAAAAAGAGTGAAAGTGAGCTGGTGAGCAAGTGAAATGTAAGCAAAATAAGTAACTTGAAAAGCAGCATTAACAAAACATTGACAGAAGACGCAGACATTTTGTTCCACAACTGCCTGAGCATCTGATGTGAGGAGAGGTGACAGGCACTGCTGTGAACAAGGATCAAAGTCTGCAATTTTATTTTCTCGGTATAATGAAAACCACTGCTCTCATCACCACTTCAAAATAAAATATGCGTGTCCTTTAAAAGAAAAATTCTCGTTTTCCTAGCAAAATGGCCAAGCTGGAAGACTTGGAGGAAATTGATATCAGTGGGAACAAACTGAAAGCCATTCCAACGACCATCATGAACTGCAGACGCATGCACACTGTGATTGCTCACTCCAACTGCATCGAAGTCTTCCCAGAAGTCATGCAGCTCTCTGAAATAAAGGTAAGGAACGAAGGCGCTGTGAAAAAAGGAAGTATGAGGTGACTTTACCAATTCCCTTCCCCCCTCACGTCTCTCATTACTACCAGATAGTATGATCTCAGAAAGTGGATTTCTGCTTTGAGGTCATATGCATCATACTCGCTGCTGTGCCGCCTCGGAGTGGCATGGAAGAAGAGCCTCAGAACCTGGTTTTGTGCTCACCTTCACTAGATCCTATCTTCTCTGCCAAATAAGGGTTAATTGTCTTCCTGTGGCAGCCTGTTGTGACATGACTTAAACATTTGGCAAGAGCTATGCGCAGTGAACTCTTGCTGCCTTGGCAATTGGTTGATTGTGTAGGAATGGACTTTGTGTAGAGCACGTGTTAAAAACCACTGGAGCTACAAAATAGGATAGGCCTTCGGGACAGAGATGGGTTGCCCAGAGAGGCAGTGGAGACCCCATCCCTGGAGACATTCAAGCCCAGGTTGGACAGGGCTCTGAGCACCCTGATCTCGTTAGCGGTGTCCCTGCTCGCTGCAGGGGGGTTGGACTAGATGACCTCTGGGGGTCCCTTCTGACCCAAAACTTTCTATGATTCTATGATTCTCGCCTGGCTGTGGCGCAGAGCATTTCGCACTGCGTGCTGTTTCCGCTGGCCAGAGCTGGGAGGCTCTTAACTCGCAGCACACAGAGCTTGTGCTGCGGCGCAAAATCTGTCGTTCTCCGAGGCAGAGAATTGACAGCCTGTTCACGGACTCTGAACAGCTTCAGCGTCCTTCGGGCGCTCTGTGAAGGCAAAAGGCTGAGTTCCCAGGCTGCCGTGTGCGCCTCGGCGCCCGGGGTCGGGCAGAGCCGCCGGAGCGATAATTCTGTTGGACAGCCAGTGCGCGTGAAGATGAGCTCTGTGGTTTTAGCCAGGAAACCTCAGGGAAACTTGTAGGTTTTTGAATGCTCCTCCCTCTGTGGAACAATGGCCGGAGGAAGCAGAGGGCCATTTAGAATCAATCAGAAGCAAAGCCTTTTTTCTTAGAGGAAGAACTGGGGTGGGGGAGCGAGGCTCTGCACGGTAGACCTTTCTTTAGAAACAGAATCACAGACTCACAGAATGGTCGGGGTTGGAAGGGACCTCTGTGGGTCACCCAGCCCAACCCCCTAAGCAGGGTCACCTACAGCAGGCTGCACAGGACCTTGTCCAGGTGGGTCTGGAATATCTCCAGAGAAGGAGACTCCACAACCTCCCTGGGCAGCCTGGGCCAGGGCTCCGTCACCCTCAGAGGGAAGAAGTTCTTCCTCATGTTCAGCTGGAGCTTCCTCTGCTTCAGTTTGTGCCCATTGCCCCTTGTCCTGTCGCTGGGCACCACTGAAAAGAGTTTGGCCCCATCCTCCTGACCCCCACCCTGCAGATATTTGTAGGCATTTCTAAGGTCCCCTCTCAGCCTTCTCTTCTCCAGGCTGAACAAGCCCAGCTCCCTCAGCCTCTCCTCATAGCAGAGATGCTCCAGTCCCCTCCTCTTCCTCGTAGCCCTCCGCTGGACTCTCTCCAGTAGCTCATGAGGGTGGTGTTAACAAAAAAAAAGAAAAAAAAAAAGGAGGATAATGTAAACGTGCTGATAGGGAACGATCTGCTTTTTCCTTTTCTTCGTGCGTTTTGGGGAAAGCTGAATGTTTTCTAGAAGAGCATCAGTTTTTAAAGTGCTGCTCTGGCGTGACACCTAGCAGAAGAACCCTCTTGGAAGACCCGGCAGTTTCTTCCTGCTGGTTCCCCACGGTTATTTGGTTCTCTGTAGCAGAAGAGGCGGGCACAGATGTCACTGACTGTTCTGGGACTGCAGGGACAGCGTCCGTGCCTTCACCGAAGAGGACACAGCGCTCAGGGCTCCACCTTTGTGGAAGGAGAACGCCTGGTCAGCAGTCGAGCCTGGTTTTGACTGACGTGAGATGAGTTCATGTGGGTGCCAGATGGGAAGGAGCCTTGTTGGGCACAGGGGTTTTTCTGGCCTCTTGGCGATTTCCCTAGGTCGGGGTTGGTGTTTGTCAGTTTGGAGGTCCAGCTTGTGCTGCCTGGCTGTCTCCATTACTCGGCGTAACCAGAGCTCCTTCTTAGGTACGTGGAAGCATTCAAATTGTGCCACAGTAAGTCCAGAATTTATTCCTGAAGTATGGATTTGGTCATTTGGTGAAACAAGCAAAACACAAAGTTGTATAGTCCCGTGTCACCTCTGTGCTTATATCATATGTGATGGTTAATTTTAACTGAGATGCCATTCAAACACTCCAAACTTCTTGGGAAACCTTTATCTGAGGTAACGGCTGTTTTGCTTTTGTATTTAATTAGCCTGAGAGGGTGACAGGTTGTGTTTTTGGAGTCAGTGATACTGGAACAGTTAGTAGCAGCGGTTACTCTGCTGTCTGAAATAATTTCAGAAGGAAAGCTAGGATAAATGATGATGCTTTTACACTTGGCAGTGACTCCAGGATTTCCAAACGCAAGGTCGTTTTGGTGATACAGGTGTCTCTCAGCCTTTTACACGCTGCGGTCAAGGCTACGGAAGTTATGTGTTGTACGCTGCGTTAGAGAGCGGTGGATGTCTCCGAGATGTCTTACACATTCTTTTTAGGGTTTTTATTGTGTTTTATGACAGTTATTTATACTGTCAGAGATAGGTTTGTCTGTGCACACTGAAATGTCTTCTGCTAGTGGCCGAGCAGCTGGAAGCACACACACCTGAGTCAGTGCTCTGGTAGACTCTTCCTTACCGCTGTTGTTTGGCTTCAGTTTCCTCGCCTTACAGAAGAAGAGGGCACTTCTTAAATTGTTCTCCAGCGTCCCGGTGTTCTTCTGCAGACAGACAGTGGGGCAGCCCTCACTGCTTGAGCAGAGCTCAGAGCTTTTCCCTCCCGGGACCTGGCTTTACTTTATCGTCGGGTTTTTGTTGACTGAGGAGTTGCTTCTCTTTCATGGTTGTCTTGCTGGGCTGCGGCGGTGAGGGCGATGTGGAGGTTTCTTGTCGTGGTTTTTGGTCAAGCTTGTCTTTCACAGGAGCATTACCTTGAGATCCAAAATAAGTGAAGGTCTAGTAGCAGCAGCATCTTAAAGACAAAACTCTCAATCTTTTATCATTTTTCTCATGGTTAAATAGGTTGGTGTCAGTACAGCCACCTTCAGTCGCAACTGGAGATACGTCAAGTCCCTTCCAGCCTTGGACAAGAGAGTCACAAAGCTGTAAATGCAGTGACATGCTGAATATTTAACCCTGTCTTCCAGCTGGCGCGCCCAGTGCGTGCAGTCGCAGGAGTTGTTCTGGTGCTGCACGGCGGGGGCGAAACCGCCTCGCGTTAAAATGATGCACGAGGAGACTGGGATCGGTTAGGAAAGGCGCATTCCTG